ACAAGTACCACCAAGTACAAGCTACGCTCTGCAGCCATCCCCGCGCTCCGTTTCATATTTTCCCTGCTTCTGGATGGCAGCATGCCCATGGCAAAGGGTAAGCAGGAGGTGGGAGTTCTGAGTTCTTTTTACACTCTGAGTGAGTTAGGATCACACCTGCTTCTATCAGGCCTTCCTTGCATTTAGTGGTCCTCTTAATCCATTTATAACAGCACTTGTCCAGAAATCTGGTTTGAATGAGCCTGAGATGAATAATTAATGTCAAGCGGTTCAGACGTCAAATATTTGAACAGCTGCTTGGGTGTTTTCACTGGCTTTGTGCAGGGAGGCAACACCAGAAAAGTTACATCAGGAGGGACAAGTTAAAACTCTGGCTTCAAACCCTGACCTATCAGACCTGGCCTTAAAACTAACCTTCCCTTGGGTGAAACCTGTTTGAAAGTGTGTGTGATGGGCCATTGGTTTCACAAGTTGATCTCTGGTCAGGTTGTGCGTTGCCTTCTCTTCTCTAGCATTCTCCTCTAAGTAGTGATGATTCCAGGATCGATGGTCTTCTTGTTCAATCTTGACATCTCTCAGAAACATGTTTTTCCTTCAGAGAACAGGAACCTGTAAATTTCTAAAACTGATCAATAGCATTGCTTCTATTTTGGCTTGCCCACTAGCTAGGAGGGTTGCTTTTGTTCCACAGACCGAGAAATACAGTTCCGGGCTCCATTTTGTTGACAACGCATAATCTGTAACAGCTCACATTCTTGTTACAAAAATCCTGCCTCTTATTTGGTAAAGTTAGATGAAGTCAGGATTGTGTGTTGGAGAAATACCTAGGGCAGGATTACCTGGCATTAACCTCTAAGTGCTGCCCCTCCAGGCCCAGAACTGGGAGTCCTCAGCTGATCAGTCTGGAAAGCATGCCCTCCAGCCTCTTCGCTGAATGTCCCTGTGCTGCAACACATCTGAATGTTTAAACCGTGCACTTTGTTTGAGGAGGCTGCCCTGCTTGACATGGCTTTCTAGCTACGTCAGATCATAATAAAGTATCTTCTTTCGTAACACACCTTCATGGCTTCCCACACCCATCCTCCTTCTCCCCTCCCCACGAGGCAGGCTGGTGCTGGCTGGTCCCTGCTACCTGTCACCATGTCTGGCCAGCACTGCTTCCATTAGTGTCATTAAACCAAGGTTTTCAAAAGTGACTAGCAATTTTGGGTACCCAAATTTGATGTGGCTTAAAGGGCCTGACTTGCAGGAAGCGCTGAGTACCTGCCCCTAAACTGAGGCATCCAAACTCACTAGTCTCTTGGGGTTAGTCTGGACTCAACTAGCACTAAAGAGACGACTAAGGTGGGATATGACAGAGGTCTATAAAATCATGACTGGTGTGAAGACAGTAAATCAGGAAGTGTTATTTACTCCTTCTCATAACACAAGAACTAGGGGTCACCCAATGAAATTAATAGTCAGCAGGTTTAAAACAAACAAAAGGAAGTATTCACACAACACACAGTCAACCTGTGGAACTCTTTGCCAGAGGATGTTGTGATGGCCAAGACTATAACAGGGTTCAAAAAGGAACTAGATAAATTCATGGAGGATAGGTCCAGCAATGGCTATTAGCCAGGATGGGCAGGGATGGTGTCCCCTAGACTCTGACTGCCAGAAGCTGGGAATGGGTGACGGGATGGATCACTTGATGATTACCTGCTCTGTTCATTCCCTCTGAAGCAGCTGGCATTGGCCACTGTCGGCAGACAGGATACTGGGCTAGATGGACCATTGGTCTGATCCAGTGTGCCCTTTCTTATTGCAGTGTCAGACAGATGTTGTTTCCCTACTGGTGATCAAAGAAGAGACTTGCTTTCATGCTCTTTTGCACGTGATGTTGCGGTAGTAGGAGGCTCTGGTGGGAAGGGAGTGAGGTTATATAACGAGGAGGATGAGTGGATTGTGTGCATCCATGAAACATCTCAGGAAAGTTTTTTGTCCTATGGTCTGAATTGTCCAGCTTCCTTTATTGCTCTGGCATTGCACTTTACAAAACTCCCCCCAGGGCTAGTAACTCAGTACTGACTGAGCAAGCGGCTTATTCCATGGGCTGAGATGGGGGCCAAACTGAGAACTCCGAGGTCAGAATGGAAGTTCCCAGACCTAGCAGTATTGCAGGTGTTGAACATCACCACTGATTCCTCCAGTTCTCCATCAGCAACTCCCATAACTGAAAAAGTCACAGCAAAAACTACCAAAATAGCGCGTGCTCTCTCTCTCTGGCTGTATTTCAGGGCAGACTTCGTGGGAGGGATAAGACCTTTACTGTGAATGTGATAGAGAACATTTCTGAGCTCGTGTTCTCCAAAGCGGGCAGAGTTGGGAGCTAGCAAAGGAGTTGTTAGTGCCGCCATTATTAGCCTTAAAAAGGATTTCCCCATGCACAAATGAGAGTTCAGTGAGGATGGGGTTAGGATTCTGAAATCAGATGCCTTAATGTTGGTAAGCTACACCACCGAAGCCAGGCTATATCTCTTAAACGCTCACCATGATCCACTAGACTCTTTGGCTTGGATGATTTAGAAACCAAACTGATGAAAACATGCTTGTTTCCCCTGTGCATGGCATCCTTGCAGATAGTGGAACCAAAGGAGAAATCCCTTTTACACTCAATTGACCCCCGACGACACCACCACCACCACCTCCCTCAGGCACTCATTCCAAGTATTCATTATCTGGCTAACATTCAAATCACTTCTGGGACTGGCCAAGTCACTGCTCCAGCTTTGCATGATTTGTGTTTCCCACCTCTTGGAAAGAAAAATGAAGACCTGTACGTCCAAAGCTTATGGCCTTTGAGAAGTGATGGGCTACAGTAATGCCAGGTGCAGAAAATGGTGTTACTGGAGGTTTAATGTCATGCTTGTAAATTACCACTACATCTCTCGCTGCGAGTTCTCAGGCAGCATTGAAAGAACATCCAGCTCTTCTGACAGGTCTCTCGTATTACTTTAAATCTTCTCCCAAACATTGTGATGAACTGAAAGAGTCGAGATTTAGTGGATGAGCCATTGCTGTGAGAGAAGGAAGCTCAGGATGTACTTTGTCCGCCAGCATATAACACGACTCAGCCTGTACTTGAAACGCTTCCGATGGGCTCGGCTGGCAAGGGCGCTGCCTGTATGCTTCTGGAGGCTGTGCCACTTATCACAAAGCAGTGCCTTGCTTTCAGAAGCCGGTGTTGGGTGCTGCACTTACACAGGTGTCAATAATGGCAGTTTGGTAGCTCTGGTGAAAATTGAAAGCTGGTCGTTGCTTCGGGGGCGGGGGCTGGCTGAGTTAATCTGGAGAGGTGATCCTGAAAACTGATGGAGTGCTGAAAGTGCCACTCTTTAAAGGCCCTCGTTTTATATGGGGGAAGAGAGATATCAAGTCTTTATAAACAAATTTTATTAGCAGCTTAACTGATAACGTGTACATTCTCAGAGACTGACAGTGACATACTGCATTCGAGTGGTGTCCTTGGAAAGAGATCTGTATCCTGTCTAGCTCCCACTGGGGATATAGCCAGCTAGAAATACTGCTCCACCAACATGGGGGGGTCAGGGAGGGGGACACAGATCCGGTATTGACACCATAAACTGGATTGAGAGCACAGTGGACTGGGAGAAGAGTCAGGCCCTTGTGTTGTCAAGAGGGTGACTCGGGGGATGGGGGGACTTCTGTTTTTATGAGGAGCAATTAATAATCCTTCCCAAAATTAATATCCCTAACTGAAACTCACCATCTCCTCCCTTCCTGGGCGCATTCACACTGCACAAGAAGCCTTTGCTCTCAAAGCCCAATTAAAACTGACATGAGCCAGAGTTAGTGATCTGATACCAAAATGTTTTGACTCTGCTACAGCCCTTCAACATGGAGGGAGGATGGCCTTGTGGTTAATGCATTGGGTTGGGACTCAGGCCTCAGTTTCCCCATCGATCAATGGAGATGTTGAATTGTAACTGTTTGGTGTGAACACTCTTGCTGTGTTTGTACAACATTTGGCTCAACAGAACCTGATCCTGGCTGGCATGCCCACAAAGCAATAACAACAATGCTCAAAGATGCTTCTTGCCGATGAAGTGGGCTGTAGCCCACGAAAGCTTATGCTCAAATACATTTGGTAATTTCTAAGGTGCCACAAGTACTCCTGTTCTTCTTGCCTGTGTTGGCTCTCTCCTAAAGATTAGCACTTCTTATGTGGCTTTCTAAATACTTTCTACTAAGTATTTGGGGGTACTCAATCCTGTGAGAGCCTGGGCACCCTCAGCTCCCCTAGGAGTTAATCAGGAGTGCTTAACACTTCACAGGATCTGGGCCTACGCAGCGCTTCATACTTCAGCAAGGATTTTGCCTGCGTAAGAAGTGCTCGTTAGGGCCCTTAACGTTAGTGTGTTCCTTATCTGCTTCCCAGAAGTCGTTTTATTCTCATTCATGAACATTTAATATTGGACAAAATTAAGCAGAGGCCAACACTCGTTACAAAAATAGGTGTTTTATTATCCTGGTGTCTGTTTGTCCCCACTGATAAGGCCACTGGGAAACATGAGGATTATCTCGTCGTGTTTGGCTGAGAAACCATGTGATGAACAAACTTAGCTACACCCACTAACTTCTTTTGATGTTTGAGCTTTCAGCCATGAGTGAGAGACAATCCCAATTTCTGAACCACCCTCTATAACCCTCAAGCTCCCCTTTTTCCTTGCTACAAAAAGTAAAGTTATGATGAGGGTGATGGAAATCTCTAAAATTCCCTTCATAATTGAAAATTAAACTGTCTCATTCTTTCTGATTGGCACTGGTTCCTGCTGCTAATCTGTTCAAAATACATGGCTGAGCTCTGAAGGATGGCCCACGCAGCCCAGCCTCTGTCCTAGGATTTCTTTCCAGGGATCTCCTTGTGTTGCTCTCTGAGATGTTTTGCTACAGCGCACTGATTCGTGATACTAGTCCACCCATTTTATTCCCTCCAGGCTCCGGATTCATTATGTGCAGTGGCAAGGAGAATCCGGATAGCGACGCTGATCTCGACGTGGATGGAGATGACACACTGGAATACGGGAAACCACAGTATCGTTTTTGAGACATTCTTACTCAGCTGTGTGTCTGATGCTTCTGACCCTGTGATACAGCGTTGCCCTGTGTAACGTTGAGTGGGCCAGCCCCCGTGAGGAATGCCAGCAGCTCCCCACACTGCATATCATACACTTGATCGTTTGGGTTATTTCCCTAATGTCTCTGACACAACACTTCCTTGTCCTTGTTAGTTACCTATACCCCATCCTGGCATGTGGCTCCTTCGTCCACACCACCTTTTTCTACGTCGCCAGAAGCGAATCATTCGGTGTCTCCTTTTTTCCATACGCTCAGATTTTCCCCAAATGCACTCTGCTCCAGGATTGTCCGAAGCTCCCTAAAAGCCGAACTGTGGCCCTTCCCGTTCCCCCAAGGCCCCGCCCCTGCACTGCCTCGTCCCTGAGGCCCTGCTCCCAAGCCCCCTTTTCCCCCCAAGATCCCACCACCTGCTCTCTCCTCTCCACCACCACCCTCCCATTGCTCACCCTTAAGGCCAGTAAAAAGTAATGGGGCCCTGCCCCCCCCCCCCCCAGCCCCCTGTTCCGGTGCACTTGCTCTGCTCCAACTATTTGGTTAGGGCTGGAGCTTTTCCATCCAGAAATTTGGGCCAGAGCAACTGGACTGTACCAAGCAGCTCTAGTAGCTGTTCAATGCAGGCATCTAGCAAGAGGGGGAACAGCCACGCGATCTGAATTCCCTGAAGGCAACGTTTACACTCTGACATTCAGGGGGGGTGAGACTGATTGTCTCTATTCTGGAATTGAATTACACCTGCACCAGCTGGTGTGAGTCAGCATCTCTCTAATAGAGGCCGTGGCACCGTGCTGACTGAGGCCTGCAGAGGATCCGGCCCTAAAGTGTCCGTAAGCCAAAGCTGGTATTCTCAAAAGAAAACCGAACAGGAGATTGAGACTTTGTCTCTCTCAGAACAGCTCTTCCCGCATGTTACTATCAAAGGAATCTCTCCACATGGCACAGAGTGTTACCTTCCTGTCTAAGTTTGTTACCATGTTGCCTTTGAAATCAAAGCTTCGGGAAGGGAGCTGTTGATGTAGATTGTCCGAATGAACTCGCTGTGTGTCCTTTGGAGCCAAAGTTGGCTGGCTGAGCCCCCAGTGCCGCGAAATAGGCGCACCGCAGAGCACACTCTCCTCCCCCTCGACGAGGCTGTATTGCTCCTTAACCCTCTGTGCTCAGGTATACCGAGGCAGACATCATCCCTTGCACCGGGGAAGAGCCGGGCGAAGCCAAAGAGCGGGAGGCACTCCGCGGTGCCGTCTTAAAGTAAGCGCCTGGGCTTTGGAATTGTTTTCACCAAACTGGCTGGGTGTGAGTTGAGGGGGAAATCCCTGTTCAGCTGTGTGTGTGTGAGACGTGGCAAGAGAGAGGCAAAGTCGTGTTGCTTGGGCTGAATTCCCCACCCGGGGTGTAGGAAGGGGCAAATGAGGATATGGTTAGGGATTCGTAGAAGCCCCTGCTAAGCACATTTCCCAGCTACTCTGGCCACACCCACTCCCCAGAAGGGCCACCTACTCTGAGAGCAGCATTGGCCAGCTGCTAACTTCGGGTGGAGAAGACACTGGTGCTGCAATCCCCCTCTGGGCAGACCTTTCACGGTCGGGGGCCCTGAGCTCTGCCACTCCCCAGAGCGGACTAGAGTTGGGTAGATCTGTAGCTGCGCAGCACCGTGCGTGGGACTGCCCGGGGTGGGGTAGAACAGGCCAGCGGACCCCTCTGCATGCTGCACTGAGTAGGGGCAGGTCTGTGCCGCTCCCTCGTGGGGCAGGCCTTTGCACGGGGAACCGAGAGCCCTGCCTCGCTTGCTCCAGGCTGTGAAATGCAGGCAGGCAGCCAGGATACCATGTGAGCCAGGCACTGGGGGAAGTGCTTCAGGCAAATAACAAAATGACTGTGAACAGGGACCTAGGATTGTTTTTCTAGCCCTCTGCCCTGCATGGAAATAGGGCTTCAATTTCCCCTCTGTCCCTTAGACTGAGTGATCCTGTGAGGTCAAGGGTGAAGTGATTGATAAAGCAGTGAAATAAAGCTTTCTTACTGCTTAGCCTGTCACAAACAGTGGCTCAAAATTAGGTTCCACTCTGTAGAAACATGGGATTTGCCACGCTGGATCAGACCCTTGGGCCTTCAGCAGCAGCCAATCCCTCTGCTTCAGAGTGAGGTAGAACCATTCCCCTGGCACATTGTGATGGGGGGGAATCCCTCGCCAGTGCCCGCAGACAGTAGTGGGGAGGTGTGGTGTGCGGATTACAGCAGGAGCCTGGAACCTACCATGTCACATTCCCATATGTGGCTCCGTCACTCAGACACTGTATTGCCTTGCAGTCCTTGAGCCCCTCTCCGACTCATTTGCCCCATCTGTAAAATGGGGGTGATTATACTTCATATTTGCAAAGTGCTTTGAAATTCTGACCAAAGGCTCCGGAGAAATGCAGAGTGTAATTATTAGCTCAGGCCCTGAAGCAGGAGGCTAGATTACCCTTTTAATGTAACCCTCTTAGCTCGCAGAGCTGGAAATGTCACTTAGTGCTCATAATTACCCAGGCGCCTTTAAAGATTCTCTTGTGCAGTGACTGGTCACGCTTGCCAGTTCTATATGCTTTAGTGTAATGGGTGTCCCAAACGTGAAGCGTTAAAAGGCCCCGCCTGTGAGAAGGGGCAGTTATTCTTAGAGGGAGAGTCCGTTGTACGTAGAGAGAAGCCTTTTGCCTCTGGAATCCTGGGTGCAAAACTCAGCCTTAGGTTACAAGGGAAGGAATTTGGATCCAAAGCGTTCAGTCAACATCACAACCACTGAGTGGTTCAGTACAGACTGTGTGGGCACAGCAGGAGTTGGGAGCATTGGGAGAGCTGTGCGGGGAACAAAGCCCAGTTCTAGAGAAGGTTAGTCCCTTGCTTTGATGCCCAGATTTAAGTGGGAGGGAATGTTTGTATTTAAGCTGTTGAAACCTACAAAAAACAGTGAGACTTGTGTGTGTTGTAGGGACCACGGACTCCCCGTGACCTGCTTTCAGCATTGTCTCTCTTCTCTGTTTTTAGTGGTGGTACGCCCAGTACCCGAATAACGCCAGAGTTTTCCAAATGGGCCAGTGATGGTGAGTGTTAGATCCATAAATTACTGTTCCATCCTGAACAGGCAGATCTTCTCCTGCAGGTTTGGATGGAGGGCAGGTGGGTGGGGAGGGAGTGGGTTGATCTTCCACTTTTTTCGAGTTGCAGTCACTTGCCTGTGGAGTGGTCATGGTAACTGCATGTCAATAAAAGCAGGCAGTGATCTTGTGTATAGATAGCCCCTTGACCCCCAAACAGTATCATTAACAATACTCGGTACTGGCAGAACACCTTTATTCTGGGGATCTCAGAGGGCCCCACACATATTCCTCCTCGTGGGCCTTTGAGGGGCTGACCCCAAGGTGGAGACTTGTCAGTCAGAGACAGGATTAGAACTCTGGCATTTTGGGCTCCCACTCCTGGGCTCTGACCATTAGGCCGCACCAACTTCCTGTTGAGCTGAATGATGTCATAAAATAGCATCTGAATGAAAGGGAAAAAAACAGCTGGTGACTGCTTGGCCTGGTGACACAGGATGCCAGTTGGTAACCAGTGAGGTCTCTTGTGGTGGGAGCCATTGAGGGTCAGAGTGGGATCCCATCTGTAGAGAACAGGGAGTTTTAAGGCCAGCAGTCAAATAGTGAGGGTGGTGTCCTGGGGGCACTGCCCTCTGTGGTCGGAGTGTCTAGGAGCAGGGTAATGGAGGAGCCTGCCCAGCTGGTCAGGAGGTCTCTGCGCAATAATGGACATGGTAATGGAAGTTCTCCCTCCCCAGCAGAAACCACACTGCCTTGGGTCGTCCTCCTCCTCCTCCGTTTACTTAAGCAGCTGTTAGAGCTTCGCTCCCCAGTGCTGCTGTTCGGTCGCTGGTGGCTTGACCCAGACACACGTTAATGCTGCCCCTTTTTTGTTGCCGTCCCATTTTTAAAAGGACATGTGAGATTAATAATGCAACCTCCGAAGTAGATTTTGTCCTCTGTGGTGTCAGCATAAGAGAATAGTGCCTCCTATTGCTGTTCCCATGGAGTTCTTCCTTTAGCCCAAGTGGCAGAGGCCTGTGCTTTTAGCATGGCGTGTCCTGGCTTCTGTCCCAGCTGAGGATACACGGTGGAAGCTGCCCACAGTAATGATCTGCGACAAAGAAAATGGTTTGAGCTGTGACTTACGTTGATACTCATTTGAAAGCATGTGTCGTTCTTTGAGGTTTTTTAAACCCATCGGGGGTGGTTTTATTTTTAAAAGCCAGCGGCCCCCGGGCACATACCCATCCCTACAATAACAAACTAGTGGGAAGTGTGAGCAGCCCCCCAGTAATAAAACTTCACACGTTCCCGCTGTAGAGCCCCAAGCACATCACAGCATTGGGTAAGTGCTGTTGTCCCTGCTTTCCAGAAGAGGGAACCGAGACAGAACAAAGTTAGGAGACTTGACCTCAGTCACCCAGGGAGCGCAGTAGCAGAACTGGGACTAGAATGCTGGGCGCCTGATGCCCAGGCCTCCTAAGAGTCCACAACCAGGGGCTTGGGCAACTGCACAGTACCAAACCAGTGTGGGGCTTGGACCTGGGAAGGGGAAGAGAAGGTTGAGGAATGACGGTCTCACCGGGGACGTTATAAATAAGTGTATTAAATATTCTCTGTTCTTAATCACTTTCCTGTATGTGACACAGCACCCACATAGCTTCCTAAGAGAAGAGAGAATAAACTGTCTTGGATAAGGGAAATTGGAGTACTTACCACAGACGGTGAATTAAATAAATCAGCTCTCCTTCAGTAGGTGTATTGGAGGGATGGTGAAGAAGCAACAGCACTAATGCTTGGTATTAGCTTGGGTTTCTACAGCTCTTATCACCCAAACACATCACAAGCTGCTCTGCATAGACTCGTTGGCCAAGGTAGTGGCTAGTGACTTTGGGTGCCCCGTTTAAGATACCTTGAAGGGGCCAGATTTGCAGAGGGCAGTGCTCAGCAATTTCAGTCTGGCCCCTTTAAGGCATCTCTGGCTGGGTGCCCAAAATCCCTCAATCACTGGAAAATCTTGGCTTTTTATTTTTTTGCCTCTTGTGGGGCAAATTTCGTCCAGTCCTGCCTTGCTGGAAACCCGCTCTGCATGGCTGCTGTAGCAAACCTTTTCTGAAACAAATCTTAGCTGCCCACGGGGCCATCCGTCGGAAGCGAGGCGAGGGTGGAATTTTCATTTTCCCTCTCGGATCATAGGAGCGCTCTGTCCTGGGCACAGGCCTTTCAGACAGCCAGGAACAGGCAGCGTCGGTTCTGGGCAAGTGACTCCTGGGTCCTTTGCTCCTGCACCTGTTACGCGTTTAGACTAAATGCCCTGTGCCTTCCCTCCACAGAAATGCCCTCGACGAGTAATGGGGAGAGCAGTAAACAGGAGGCTCTGCACAAGACCTGTAAGAACAGCGACATCGAAAAGTGAGTAGAAAGCGCACCGCCCTGCCCACCCTGTGGAAGTAAGCAACTGCCCCCGGCTCTCTGAGCGTCAGGGGAACTCAGGCGCACACAGGCATATTTTGGCACCCTTGACCACTGAAGCAGTTATCCCTGAAATAAGCTACTTCCGTCCCAAACATCAGCATTGCATTATCTCCGCTCCTAGCTCCCGCTGGCTGAAGTGGCTGATAACGGGGGGGTTCCACCATCATGGGGTTAGGCCTTCTGATTCCCATGCTCCGTAGCAACTTCTCTTCCACAAAGGAAACACCCCACCTCTGTGTCTCGGCGCTCAGTGCCGTGATCTCCAGCAGGCAAGTGGTGCGGAGCGGGGATGGCCGCGTGCTTTGTTGGTCAGCTCCGTGTTCTTCAGGATCCCTCTCCTAAAGGAAGCCCCCTATGCTCTCTCCTCATCCCCGCTCAGACTCTGCCTTGGTACCTACGTATTCCATCCTCCTTCTCTCCGTGGGAAGGACTCGGAGCAGCCCAAAGGCCGCACTTTGAGGGCAAACGCTGAATACTCTTCCCTGTGGAGCCAGTCAGCATTGGTCCTTGTGAGAGCCAGAGAGAGTCACTAATATGAGACACCCTGAGCCTCCATCTCCCAGGATCTGAGCATGTTTCATCTGCACCCTTCTATCCCTGATTCAGGAGCCTGCACCCCAGTGTTTAAGCTGTGTGAAAGCCCATTGTGCTGCTGATAATGGGGGGCTGTCACCATCTCCTTCTCCCGCTAGTTCCAGCCACTGCATGCATGTACGCATGACCTAGGACGGAGCCAGGTCATGCCCTTGGCAATGTTTGTTTCAGATTTCTCTCTTTTGGGGATTTCCCCCCCACACACACACACACACCTTCGGGTGGCTTGCCCCTTCCCACCCTCTTCCTAAAGGCTTGTGGGGAAACCCTGGCTGTTGGACGCCTAGCCGCGTGAGTGCCTCTGGGAATCCCAGCCTAGTAGTTTCAAGATCCTCCAAGGCTGCTGTGGATCATTTTAATCCCCTTTTTAAAAAGAGAGAGTTGGTTATTGCTGTCGGAGAATAACAGAGATGCCTAAAATCAACACTGATCGGGTAAGGAATAAAACGGCTCTGAATGAGACAGAAGCATCTCCCATCTCTGTGCTTGAAGATTCCAAATAACTTTATCTCGGATTAGTTTGAAATCCAGTTCCTTCTCCTCATCGACCTGCCCAGGCCTGACTTCAGGGTTCTGTGTCCCCTGGAGACTTCTAACAGCTAAAGCAGCTTAGTGCATGGTCAGGTGTTAGCTGAGGTAATTCTCTGCTCACCCTGACCTCTGGTCTTTGGACCTTTTTTTTTTTTCTGTTTTTAAAGCCTCTCTACCCATGTGTCCCAGACATGGGTGATCCGCACTGTTCATACTCTACATATAGCTTCTGATTTCATACTTATCAATCAGTGGGTTGAAAGCTAGACCACAGAATTTGGGGATTTGACAACACTGCAATAGGAGGCCTATTTTTCAGAGTAGCCACTCTCGTGTTTTGTGTCAGAGGTGTTGAATCCCTGAGCAATAATCCTGTCTCAACCCTCCTTTGGTTTGTTGCTCATCCTTCGTAGGGCCTCCTAAGCTCTCCTTAGAGTCAGTGACTCTACCCTCCCAAATCCACTCCTGTTGAAAAGCTGAAAGGATTTGACCGTTTCCAGAACACTTGAGCTCAAGTGATAAATTGACCTTGCCTCCTTGATCAGGTTATTAAAGCTTGGTCTAGAGTCTTTGGAAGGATCCCCAAGCACTTTCCAGATGACGCGTAGAATAACTACATTGTGAAATATGTGTGTCCGTCCTGTCCCATCATAACCCTGCCCCAGTTCAACTCCCAGGCCTGCTGGAGCTGCTGGAAGGCAGGCAAAACTCCTTAGAAATGACAGGTAAAGCCTTACTGGCTTATTGACTCTTCCCAAGAAATTCCTCATTTAGAGGAACAAGGAGAGCTGAGCAGGGCTGCCCAGAGGATTCGGGGTCTTGGGGTCTTCGGCGGCGGGGGGCCCCCGCCGCCGAATTGCTGCCAAAGACCCGGAGCGGAAGAAGCTCCGGGGGCCCAGGCCCCACAAGAGTTTTCCAGGGCCCCTGGAGCGAGTGAAGGACCCCACTCCAGGGGCCCTGAAAAACTCTCGTGGGAGTCCCTGCGGGGCCTGGGGCAAATTGCCCCACTTGCCCCCTCCCCCCCCCCGGGCGGCCCTGGAGCTGAGACGCTTTTATTTAAAGGCCTTTATTTCTGTCAGGATCAGAAAGTAAGATGGTGTTGGAGGTGGATTCTCACCTTTCCCCTTTTTCCCCGTGAGATCTGTGTGTGATAAATAGTTCCTGTCCTGCTGTTTAAGGAGCCTGGATGCTCTGCATGTTTGTCTGCGTAGGGGGGGTTGTGTTAAATTAATGGATGACAGCGATCAGACCTAGAATCCTACAGAAAGCGGGGGAGGAGGTGTTTCATACTGTCTGGCTGCTTCCCACTCTGCTGAGGAGCCCTGATATATGGTGACCCAGCCCAACAGGCTAAATTGATTCATCTCCAGTTCCTGTTTCTTAATCTGGAGCTAAATTGGTTTCATTTTTCTTGTTTTGGATGGCACTTGCAGCAAGTTCTAGGCCGAAGCACTTTGCTCCGTTGTTCATAACTTTAATTTTTGCTTTTAAATCTGGGTGTTATTGATTGGTGTGTTAAGCTCCATGTAGCATCTGATTAGCATTTTAAAAAGTTTAGAAGCACATGGTTTATCACCTGTGTCAGCTGTGCTCTCCATTTAGAACAATGGGTAATAGAGTTAGTAGTGATTCCATTTAGTGATCCTACTGTTAGAAGAATGACATTCCTTCCCCCCTTTCCAAAAATAAGTCTAGGCATGGAGAGTATTTTTTTAATTAGCTAATACGATACAGTACACTGTCCTTGTTTTGGCATGCCGCTAATGTACTTTGGTTGAAAGTTAATGGAATTTGCACTTCAGGCTTCCTTAGAAGACTCTCTTGCAAGCAAATTGACAAGCCTAGAGATGCAAGGAAAGTCCACACTGATTTCCCTACCTCCATGTACCTTGACAGGTCTCCATTGTTTCCCATACCAGTGACCTAGCCCCTTGCATCGTTTGTGTTTGAACGTCAAATGGTAGCCCTGGTTGACAAGATGGACCTAGGATTGGTCTGGGGACGAATCCCTCTACACTCGGGACGTCGGGATCTAGTGTGACTTCCCAGTCTTGACTCCATTAACTTTCTGAAGCAATGCTGTTTAGTTCTAAAGGGTTAGTAAAGGGGGATTGGGTAGGGAGAAGGGTGGGTTAATTCCTCAGCAGATGGGCAGATCTCCGGACGTGAAACACGCCTCTGGTTGGACTGGAGACACGGATTTGCATTGGGCTTGGAGAGATGAATCGATTCCTGTAATTGTTCAGACATATGCCCGGTCTCCTCCACTAGCGGTGACATTCTGCTGGGTCTTGTAGTTGTGTGTCACGACTAGCTATGAGCTGAAGAAGCTGTGACCTCTTTTCTCCCTTCCCCCTCCCTCCCAAGACATTACCCAAGTAACCTGGCGCCATTTTGAAATCAAGGTTCCCAGGGGTTAAAAGCCAGCATCTTAATTCAGAGTGCCAATGTTCAATTTTGCTTTCTGCCACCAAACTAGATTGCAGGCCAGCAAAAGAGTCTGGGTTAGTGGCCCACTGGGTCACCTCCCATTTGTTTTCCTCAATTTTGTGTTGTCATAAATTCATTCCAGTCCGTTGTGGTTGATCAGTTTATCTCAGTCAGGGCAGGGAGCGCTGCTAGCATGATATATGACATGAAACATTGTAGCCAGCCTCTCCATGAATCACTCCAGCTGTTTGGTGTCAGCATGAAAGCAAACAGGCCCAGGCTGCTGAGTGTTGACTGCAGTGAGCTCAGTATGGGAAGAGACATGACGTATGAATGTTTATTTAATAATTCTCTAATATTTCCAGCGGAGTGTAGCTGTGTCTTTTGGGGGGGGAAGCGGCGGGGAGGTTGAAGGGGGAAACTCTAATCTGTTGGGGTGGGTCATAAATCAGGCAGACAACCTCATTAATCAGGGATGGAACAGAACTGGAAGGAGGTGGGACTCGAGCTGCCATCCGTGGTGGGAAGGGGCTGTGCTCTCCTTTTTTTTTTTTTTTCATAAAACAAATCTTGTTTTGGATTCCAGTTAGCCCCATCAGTGCTGCTCGCATAATAGCAAACCAGAGCACCCGGCTGTTTAAGCAAGTGCGCTACCTTTGCTATAAACCTTGTGATTTAAGCCCACCAAGCATTAAATCCCTTTATAATTATCTTCTTTATAGAACACTTCATGCTCATCACGCTCCGCTGGACGAGCTGCTTGTTGGGTTAAGGAGAGGGTTTTAGAGAAGAAAAGCCATTGCGTTTGGTTTATTTTCATTTCTCTTCCCCCCCCCCTTTCTGAAGCAGCTTTCGAAAAACACCAATTCCAGGGGAGCTCAGCGGCCCTGGCAAGACTAATGGAATTGGTTAATATTGAAGCAAGCGAAGCTGCTGTGTTGGCTTGGGGTGGACTGAAGAGTAATCGCTGAGAGCAGCACATGAAATAGCAATGTCTCTCTTCAGGGGACTTCTCTCCTGCTCAGACACGGCGCTGGAGCTGGGAGCAGCGTGGGTGTGAAGCCAGAGGATTATCGCTGGCCTAAAGAGACAGATCTACCCTTAAATCAGCATGTTGGAGGGGACTGGGGAGAAGATGCCATGAATTCATACATCAGGATAATCTCTCCCAGCCCCGGCGCCGTAGATACCGAACCATTAATGGGTTTTGGATGCCAATGCAAAAACACATAGAGAAGAGTAAAAATAATATTGAGATGGTGCTATAAGTGCACATGGGCTCTACAACATAAAGGTAGGGTCCCTGCCTGGAAGAATGTACCATCGGAGGGCCTGATCCTGCGGTTGGTTCCCCAGGGATTTGCCTGCACTGAGTCAAATGC